TTTTGTTTATATCAGACAAATTTCCATAATATTTGATCAAATCTGCTCCTCTCTCAGATACACTCAAGCAAAAATCAATCGTCCAATTTAACACACATAATTCCGAACATCATTACACTGCATTCATACAGTAAAGTGCACACACTGAAAAGATGGAGGATTAAACCTTATGCCAAACATGACCAAGAGATTAAAAAAAGTTCAGAATAAAAGAAATTATTGTGTTTAGAGCAACATTAACTTGCATTTGTATAGTGACAGAGCTCCGAGGTGCTATATAAATTGTTGTTATTGTATAGTGACCTTGACGCAAGGAAAGTATCTCAGAGTGTTGTACGGATATTGAACGTGAGAGAAGGGGAAGGGGGAGGTGACCGTAGGCACGGTTGAACAAAATCTATTTAAGTGATCTTTATCTGTGTTTCAATTGAAATTCAGCACCGTATTGCACAAAGCAAATTATTCTATTCTGAAAGGCATCGGCAGTCACAGATCTTATAGGGGTTTGGGAGGAACTTACTACCAGAAAGCAATCTGCCAACCAGGTTCAAATTTACTGCAAGGTAAACAGGAGTGCCTAAGGAAACTTGCCTAAGGTTTCATCCTGGCTGGGAATTTAACCCGGGTGTTCTTTTGGTGCAAGCACACTAACTACTACCCTATGGGACTCAGGATAGCATTTTGGATCGCTGTGCAGTGGTGGGGTTAAAGATCAAGCAAGGGAGAAGTGGGGACAAGGTGACCATAGGCATGGATGTATTTAAAGCAAAAAAANGACTTCATAATCTCTCATCGTCACAGCTATGCTATTCAAAATCAGTCTCCACATTCCCTGCTCAGCAGCCTAGCAAGCAGTTTGTTCCGTAGAGAATTAGTTCTTAGTTCTCAAGCAAGTACGCGTTCCAGTTCTTTGTTTTCCTTGAAGTTAACTGTGGTTGGTATTTCAAAAGGCATCATTACGACCTGGCTGATGCAGTAACTTTGAGTAACATTTTGGTCACTTAGTCTCCGAAGACAAGAACCTAATTGTACTTTTCTTTACAAGTCATCTCCCAGCACGATCTCCAGCTTTCAGAGCACATTATTAGCACCCTGTTGCAGTTGCCACGCAACAGCCTAGCAACTTGCGATCATGTTTTCACAATCGCTAATAACCTAAATATCGTGTTATTCCTTAATGTCTGTCAGAGGAGTGCAATGTACAACACCTCCACTTAAGGACGGGCACCACTGAAGCAACTGCTGACATTAATATGAAAACGTGTGCACCAAATAGTCTTCTAGGTGCTGATTTAAAAAGTGCTTTAATGTTGTCTGTCAGCAAAATCGGTTCTCCCAGGATTCAAGTGAATACCTGGGCTGATAAAGCAAATGCTCACAATGTAACTTGTCCGGCTCTATGAAAATACTAATTTCTCATTTACCGCTGGAATCTGAGACACAGTTGTCCAACTCGGGACAAGCTTAGTGCTAAATGCAGCAAAAACACAGACCAATTCTCAGCATCAGATCCAACAGCACTTCGAACAAGATGATGGAAGTAACATACAAATTATCCAATATATATGCATATATTTTAGATATACGTACTCCCAGGTAACAGGAGAAACAAGAATCATAGAAATTTATGGCACAGAAAGAGGACATTTGTCCCATTGAGTCTGCTTCGGCTCTCAGAGCAAGCTGTTTATCCAATCCCATTGCCCTGCACTATCCCTTTCTCCCTTCAAGCCACTCTCTCTCCTAATGATATAATCATCCTTTCATTCAACATACTGGCTTATCATGTGGTTGAGACATCTCAAAGTGCTTCACAAGAGGGATTAAGCGATATGGGGATAGGGTGGGTAAATTAGGTTAAATGATCAGCCATGATCACCCATGATTAAATCAGCCATGGTAAATCATGGCAAATCAGCCATGATTTACCGCTCCACTCTAGCCTCGGCCAAGTCGTCCTTCTACTCCAGGATAATCCTGGAGGCGAAGAACAACCCCAGGCTACTGTTTTCCACCACATCCCGACTCCTCCGTCCCCCCCGCCACCCCGCGCAGGTCATCTCCTCCAACCTTCACTGCGAGGAGATGCTGGATTTCCTTGAATCCAAGATCAAGGGAATCCGCTCCGCGGTCACTTCCCCTCCAACTTCCACCCACCACCCACCCCTTCCCTCCCACACTCCGACTCCTACCCATCCTCCCCTACACACCTTCGTACCCGTTTCCCCACCCTCTGTCACTGAACTCATCCTATCCCTAAAACCAACCACCTGCTCCCTTGACCCCATCCCCACTCCACTCCTTATCTCCCAGCTCCATTTTCTTGCCCCACACATCACTGACATCATAAACCTGTCCCTCTCCTCTGGCTCTGTCCCCATTCCATTAAAAACTGCCATCATCACGCCCACCCTGAAAAAACCCTCCCTTGATGCGTCGCAGCTATCAAGCTACCGGCCCATCTCCAACCTCCCCTTTCTCTCCAAGGTCTTGGAAAGAGTTGTCGCCTCCCAACTGCGCTCTTTCCTCTCCACCCATTCTCTTTTTGAACCCCTTCAGTCAGGTTTCCGTGCTGCTCATAGCACAGAAACTGCCCTGGTCAAGGTCACCAATGATATCCTGACTATCTGTGACCAGGGCTCCCTCTGTCTCCTCGTCCTCCTCGACCTATCGGCAGCATTCGATACGGTCGACCACGCTATCCTACTCCACCGCTTGTCCTCCCACCTCAACCTTCAAGGCACTGTCCTTGAATGGTTTAGCTCTTACCTTTCCCACCGTCTTCACTTCGTCTCAACGAATGGCTTCTCCTCCACCCCCCGTACTGTCTCATGTGGTGTCCCTCAGGGCTCTGTCCTCGGTCCCCTCCTCTTCACCCTCTATATGCTCCCCCTCGGTGACATCATCCGCAAACATGGGGTTAACTTCCACATGTATGCGGATGACACCCAACTCTACCTTTCCTCCTCTACTCTCAACTCCACGACCACCGATGTCCTGACAGCCTGCCTGTCCGACATCGAGTCCTGGACGAGAGACAACTTTCTTCAGCTCAACGTGCGAAAAACCGAGGCCCTCCTGATTGGCTCACGTCAGCGCCTCCGCACCTCAGGCGCTGACACCATCAGCATCCAAGGCTGCACTCTCCACCTCTCAAAGCCAGTCAGGAACCTCGGCGTTTTGTTCGACCCTGAGCTGTCCTTTCTCCCTCACATCCGCACCACAACTGGCACCGCCTTCCATCACCTCCGGAATATCGCCAGATTACGGCACTACCTCACCCCTCACGCTGCTGAAACCCTGGTTCACGCCTTTGTCACCTCAAGGCTGGACTATGGGAACTCTCTCCTCGCCGGCCTTCCCGCCACCTCCCTCCACAAGCTGCAGGTCATTCAGAACTCTGCAGCTCGTGTACTGTCCCGCACCAGGCTTCGGGACCACATCACTCCCACCCTCGCTCGCCTCCACTGGCTCCCCATCCCCCAGAGGATTGATTTCAAGATCCTCATCCTCACCTACAAGGCCATTCACGGCCTTGCTCCCTCCTACCTCTCCAACCTACTATCCCCCTACCTACCTGCCCGTACCCTCCGTTCCTCTGGCTCCGGTCTGCTCCACGTCCCCCGCCCCAACCGCCCTACTATCGGTGGTCGGGCCTTCAGCCTCTCAGCCCCGAGGCTCTGGAACTCCATCCCCCAGTGCCTTCGCCTTGCTTCCTCCCTTTCCTCCTTCAAGGCCGGTCTCAAAACCTTTCTCTTTGACCGTGCCTTCAGCTCCCCTCTCGACTCTCTTCCTCCTCCTCGCTCCCTCCCTTCCCTCCCCTCACCCTGACCATTTCCCCCCTCCTCTCTCCCTCCCTTCCCTCCCCTCACCCTGACCATTTCCCCCCTGCTCGGGTCATGACCCAACTGTGCAGCGCCTTGGGACGTCCTCCTGACGTGAAAGGCGCTCTATAAATGGAATCTTGTTGTTGTTGTTGTTGATGATCTTATTAAATGGCGGGGCAGGCTTGATGGGCCGAATGGTCTACTCCTGCTCCTACGTCTTATGGTCTTATCTACTGGAAAGTACAGTGAGTGTGTATTGTATGGGTTGAACGGGGCAGCCATTTGCACACATTAGTTCTGGATGATCTTCAGCCTATGGAGGGAAGAGTTGAGGAAGCCGACAAGCAAGGAGTTTGTATAGTCAAGCCTCGATGTATGAATATGTGCATGAGGGTTTGGGTGGCCTGCGGTATGAGACAGTGGCGGAGTCGGGCAATGTTGCGGAGTGGGGGCAAAGCAAAGCGGGTCATGGCACGGATGTGGGATAGAAAGAATATTTGAAGATCAAACAAGATGCCAAGGTTCCGGTAACTCTCTGTGTAAAGCTTTCAAGCCTCTAACTTTCACAAGAAAAGATTGCTGGCAGGAGCTCAGTCAGGTGAGAGAAATGAGAACCCACAATGAGAGTGCACGAATTAGAACACTTGCTGTGACACATTCCACCGTCTCATCACCCCCCCTTCCCCCCTCATGGTCAGCTTCACTCTCTCTGCCATCATAAATCAGGCCCACAATCTCACTGGTAAATTTTCCTCACAATAATATTCAGTTTTTGGTTAAAAAAAATTATTGCATTTGATATAGTGCCTTATCATGTCGTTGCGACGTCTCAAAGCACTTCACAGAATATACTGTGAAGTGAATTGACTGTATTTTTTGAGCGAAACGTGGAAGGCAATTGTGCACAGCAGCATCCCACAAACAGTCGTGGATTCAGTGACCAAATTATTACTATTTTTCTCTTTTCGAATAGCTCCATGGAATCTTTAACATTTATCGATTTAACGTCTCATCCAAAGGACAGCACCTCTGACAATGTAGCGCTCCCCAACATTGCATTGGAGTGTCAGCTTAGACCATGTGATTCCAAGTCCCGATGTGGGGCTTGAACCAACAACCTTCTGACTCAGACGAAAATGCTACCACAATAGATATTGTCCTTTTTTTTTGCAGGTGAACCCTCCAGCATTTTCAGAGCATGTTAAAAAAGGGTGATCAGAAGCGTGGACGGACCAGAGCTGAATTACATTCCTCGCCCACAAAATAGTCTGCACATGCATTCTCATCTGTGAGCATTAACAATTCTGTTCCCTCAAAGGCAGAATGATCTTCCTGCACTGTGTACAGTGCACATGGCATCTCTGGACAAGGTAATTGAAAGTTTGCTCCTTCCTTTCAAGGCAAGACAGCTGCTACTTACATGGCATTTGTCAGGCAGCAAATAACAACGGTCTGTTGATATTAAAGTTGATGCCGGGAATTCTGGAATCTTTCAGAGAGACTCATTGCTGGTTGGTCAGTGGGAACTGATATAGAATGAAGGACATGTCACTGGGAGCCCATTTACTTGTTGGACTGGCAATTGCTGCTACAGTGCGGGCAACTGAGAGGAGTAGGGACTGCCCGAAGGTGTGCACTTGTGAGGTTCGGCCGTGGTTCACACCAAGGTCGGCCTACATGGAAGCTCCCACCACAGACTGCAGTGACTTAAGCCTGACGGCATTCCCACATAACTTGCCATCCGACACCCAGGTTGTGCTGCTGCAGAGCAACAACATTTCACAAATCAAAGAGCCGATAGACCTCTTGGTCAACCTGACTGAAATCGACTTGTCTCAAAATAACTTTTTTGCAATTGGCGACATCAACCTGGGACAGGCGAGCCGGCTGATGTCTTTGCACCTGGAGGAGAACAGGCTCACTGAGCTGCCCAAAGGGTGTCTGTCTGGGCTGGGCAATCTCCAGGAACTCTTCATCAACCACAATCACATCTCACGGGTGGCACATGGGGCCTTTTCTGGCTTGGCTCGTCTCCTCAGGCTCCACCTCAATGCCAACCGCTTGGCGTCCATTGAAAGCCAGTGGTTTAAGGACACACCAAGCTTGGAGATCTTAGCCATTGGCGAGAACGCCATCGCCCAGATTCAAGACATGAACTTCAAGCCACTGGTCAGCCTGCGGAGCCTGGTGATGGCTGGCATGAGGCTGACCCAGTTGGGTGACAAGACCCTGGTTGGTCTGGACAGTCTGGAGAGCATTTCCCTGTATGACAATGGCTTTCGCTCTGTGCCCCACGCGGCTCTCCAGAGGGTCCCCAGCCTCAAATTCTTGGACCTGAACAAGAACCCAATTCAGAGGATCAAGCAGGGAGACTTCCGGAACATGCTGCATCTGAAAGAACTCGGCATCAACAATATGGCAGAGCTGGTGTCCATCGACGGTCTCGCTCTCGACAATTTGCCCGAGCTGACGAAGATCGAAGCCACCAACAACCCGAAGCTCTGCTTCATCCACCCAAACGCGTTCTACAGAGTTCCTCAAATGGAAACGTTGATGATCAGCAGCAATGCGCTGAGCGCCCTCTACAGGGGGACAGTAGAATCGCTTCCCAAGCTTCAGGAGATCAGCCTCCACAGTAACCCTATCCGATGTGACTGTGTCAACCGCTGGATCAATGCAAAGAGGACACGTATCCGCTTCATGGAGCCCCAGTCGCTGTTCTGCGTCGACCCTCCTGAATTCAAGGGGCAGCGAGTCCGGGAGGTTCCCTTCAGAGAGATGACCGACACCTGCCTGCCGCTGATCAGCTCTGAGAGTTTCCCTTCCGGCCTGAACATGGAGCAGGGCAGCTCCGTGTCCCTTCACTGTCGGGCCACAGGGCAGCCAGAGCCTGAAATGTACTGGATTACCCCGGCCGGTGACAAGCTCTTACCCCACATGGCGACCGGCAAGTACAGGGTGCACCTGGAGGGAACCCTAGATATAGTGGAAGTGGCCGGCGAGGACTCGGGCTTGTACACGTGTGTGGCTCACAATCTCCTGGGCTCGGACTTGCGGACTGCGGTCATCACGGTCAATGGGTCCTGGCCTCGGAGGGCGAACGACTCTTTTAAGCTCCGAGTCCGTGAGGTGACCTCGCATTCGATCCTGGTGACCTGGGAGGCCGTTTCCAACAGCGTAACGGCCAGTGTTAGTTGGTCGGCTGCCGGTTGGGTCACATACACGGTCAGAGCTCCCACAGACCTGCACTTGTACAATCTAACCCATTTGAACCCCGCCACCGAGCATGAGCTGTGTGTCCGCCTGGCTGACCTTCACGGACAAACCAAAACAACATGTGTCAACGTCACCACGAACAAAGGGCTGGACCATTCGGCGAAAGGAAAGGAGGCTAGTGCCGGTTTGGCGACGGTGACGGCCCTTGGTACCGTCCTGGGGGTGGTTAGCTTGGCCTGTCTCTACTTCTCCTGGAACATGGACTGTGGCTGTTTACAAAATGACACGCAGAATGAAGCTGTGGTCGCACTTCCCTTGGACGAGTCTTGTGTTCCTCTCATGGATAATCGGGACATGGGGGGAGAGGAAGACGTGCCGACCCTGGAACTGGAAGCCACTGTCATTGATGTGTCAGCGGCTGCTCGTAAAAGCAGAGATGGCAAGGGTCATCTGAGCTGCAACTGGCCGGCTTTTGAATGTTGAGTAAATGGAGGTGAGAAGCACTGATCCGTTCGCCCTGATACTGACACCCGTGGGAATGGTGTGAGGGTGATGGCGGTGTAGCCCACCCCCAGTTTATAAACAAACTCCCGTGTATATGTCAAGTCGGTGAGGTAGGCACATTCCAGCGTCCCTCCCGGGTAATTTACAATGTGGGGCTGGCGAGTGGGGCAGCCCGCCGCCACCCCCGAATGCTGAGGGAGTGAGCAGACAGCAATCAGGCACCAGGCAGTGACAACAACCTCATGTTTTACTCTATGTGAAGTTGTTTACTTTCAGTCCAAACAATAAAACAGATATACAGTAGAAGAGCACAGTGAGAGTAGGTAGGTAAAAGGTTAAATGCATTTCCCCTGTATTTGACTAACGTGTAAACAGTATTGGTCTCTACTCCTGGCCTCTTACACAAGGCTGGGAGCTGCCAGTAGTTTATAAGCTGTGTGGTTGAAATCGGATGCCACATGTGGTGTTAAATGGATATGGACCTTTAGATTAGGTCATACATTAGGTCATACAAGTATGTGAAATGCAATCTTTTTTTTGAGAAACCAGAAATTAACATTTTTGAATAAACTCAGTTGTGTCTGGTTCCCTTTTCACTTCGAGTTCAGTAATTATTATACAGCCCTGTCCGCAATGGTGTGCACAGCCCTGTCTGCAATGTTGCACACAGCCCTGTCTGCACTCGTGCCCCACATGTACACATTTCTATTCATTTCAGTTTTATTCATTTTACTGTTCATAAAGCCAAACAGCAGAACTCCCTGCCTGTGTTAATCATATCTTTTATATCTCACAAAAGGTTTTGCGCATTTTATTTCCAGCATCTGATATTCAATTTTCATCTCATTAGCATTTCTGCTGGTCAGGGAATACTGTTCTTGCGGAGTTCGTGCTGCACTTCTGGGTACATCAAGAAGTCAGCCGAACAGGGGAGCAACACATTGTGTCGGCAACAATGGGGACATTTATAACCTTGCAGTGCTGATGTGTTTTACACACACCCCACAAACACACACACACACAGACAGACACACCACACATACACACAACATATGCAAACAGACAGGCATGCACACACTAGAAATACACACACACAGACACACCACATAAACAGACAGGCATGCACACACTAGAAATACACACACACAGACACACCACATAAACAGACAGGCATGCACACACTAGAAATACACACACACAGACACACCACATAAACAGACAGGCATGCACACACTAGAAATACACACACACAGACACACCACATAAACAGACAGGCATGCACACACTAGAAATACACACACACAGACACACCACATAAACAGACAGACAGACAGACAGACATGCACCCACACCACACACACACTACAAACACATACACAGGCAGACACAGACTCAGACACACACACACCAAACACACACCACACAGACACACATAAACACAGACAAACAAACACATAGACACACAAACATACTACACACAGAAACACACCACAGATATACAAATAGACACACAAAAAATCACAACATTGATAAATCACCATCACACACGGCATGCTACTAAAATTTATCAGGAAGCCTGCTCATACATCACCACAATCTCAGTCCCTCGGACAGCGCTTTCATGAGTTCGGCCATTTGTCAAAAGCACAGGCTTTATGACCTAATACAATGTAGGGACTGCATAGGTAGCAACATCTGGGAAGCTTCTGGAGCTTGGATTTTCTGAGTTTGACCTTGGCAGCATTTGGCAGTCTGCCCTTGCTGACAGGGTTAAGAGGCTGAGGAGAAGCCTTGCTAGTTAATGCATCTCAAAGAGCAAAGCAGCACACTTCCGCTATAATAGATCCCTTGACAGCAAACCACATCACAATAAAAATTCTGATTTTATTCTGGTTTTAAAAAAATCAGTGAGAATCCTTGATGGCTCAGCAGGTCTTTTACCATGATAAATTGAGCCAGAACAAGAACATCAAAGATCCAGTTTTGATTATAATAACCTTGCATTAGATATAGTGCCTTATCACATCATTGAGATGTCTTAAAGCGTTTCACAAAATATACTGCAAAGTGAATTGATTGTATTTTTGGGTGAAATGAGGCAGCTAATTGCACATGGCAGTGTCCCATAAACCATGGATCAAGTAAGGAAGCTTGTCTAAGGTTTTGCCCCACCCGGGAATCAAACCTGGGTCTTCTCGCTTGCAAGGCGAGTGTTCTGACCAATATGCTACAGGACTTTCTCCATGGAGTTCACTGATCAGACCTATTGTGACTGTACAGAACAACAACAATAAAATTACAGAAGGCTCACATTTGGCCTCAATTGGAGGCAGAGGGAAAAGCAGTGTTTCAATGTGGGCACAAGTAATTGCAATACCAACCAACACTCACTGTCAAAGGCTCACACTGGGAAAATGGGCACTGGTTAAAGGCATCAATGAAGCCACATCCTGGGGAAGAAACCAGGAACGAAATATGTTCAAGTGAAGAAAAGAGGAATCAATCATTTGTTTTATATATACAAAAAAATCTTTGCTACACACAATTGGGTGTGAAGGTTCGATGTGTTGGTAGTTAACGGGGAAATGGATGGCATGCAAAAAGACAAGAGTGAACATTGAAGCAATTTAAACAAGTGTCAAATGTGGTTAGCGCTCTTGGCTAACAAGCGAGAGGACCAAGTTTGATTCCTGGGCGGGGAATTAGCTGCCGTGTTTCCCTACAAAATACACAGTCCACTTTACAGTACATCCTGTGAAATGCTTTGAGTCGTCTCAGCAATAATGATAATACTTGTATTTTTATAATAATAATAACAATATTATATTATTTATTAAATGTAGGAGTAAGTGAGCTCTATTCTCCGTTGTTTGGATCATTGTGGATCATTCGGACCAAGTCAGTAATATGAAAATGGGACTGCAGAGCAGGGGAGATTGGGAAAGTAGGTCATCTTTGGTTCTGGTAAACTGGTGCCACCACAACTTGCTTGCAAATGCACAAAGCATGTTCCCATAGATGTACTGAACTCGATTAACGCTTGGCTTGTTGAGACCAAGGGCAGACCAGTCTCTAGGAGCAGGGAATCTTCCCACTCAGCGCCTGTTAACCCTGCAAGCAAAAGCCCTAACGGGTAGCTGAGCAAACAGCTGAATGCTTGCCTCTGGAATCTCTGGGATTTTCATGTGTCGGTGGGATACATGGAATTCTCAGTTTGGTTTGGACACTTTTAAGCATGATGATAGGTTTCCACATGTGTCAGGCACCCGGATGACCAAAAAGAAGACCAAGATTACCCAACAATGTCAGCTGATGCAGATATCAAAGGTAGTACCGTTTAAATCATAATAATAATAATAATTTCTTTTTGGATCTTTTTTCATCAACTTGGTTTGGGAAGTTCGACTTGTCTTGATTTTGGTAAACTAGATGCAGCAGTAATTCTGCCCTGTATCGAGATATTAAAATGAATTGTCTGCTCTGCTCTCCAGACAGATGAGTGTCATTTCAGTTAAGTGTTTGCCAGGCCATTAAAACAGCAAACAGTAAATATCACCTCTTTGGTGGAAGCAGGCTAGAATTTTTTGTGACATCTATTGCAGTGCCATTTCCTTCCAGTATAATTCTGCACATTTTCAAGACATAAAATATTGTTTTAGTGTCCATCATGCTCATTACTCTTTAATGGAAGTCATAAAGGAATAGCACCACAATTCAAGTACATTTCCTGAATGGCAATTACCTTTGCAATTAAGTATAAAACAAACACAAAGCCAAAAGAGAGAGGGACAGAAAGCTTCCCATTAGTTCATTATTCTCACTTACGTTATCTTAATAGCTACATTTTATGCAGCGCCTTTCTCGTTGGTGACATGCCTCAAAGAGTTTCACAGGATATGCTATATAGTGTAGTGGCGGTGTGTTTTGTGGGCGAATATGGCAACCCATTTACACGCAGCAACATCAATAAATACGAGAATAAATAACGTAATAATTTTCGACATTACTCCTGCTTACTGCTAGATAAACAGAGGCATGTGTATGGAGTAAGGAAATTTGCCTAAGGTTTTGCCCTGCTTGGGAATTCAACCCAGGTCATCTCGCTTGTGAGTGCTCTAACCACTCTAACCAGTTACTTTTATGCTTGAAAAGTTCTGACAGAGTCACAGTACTTCCAAAAGCACGTGGTATTCTTTTGTTTGGGAAAGGAAGGGGATCAGCACACATGGTTGCTTCAATTGAAACTCCTGAAGCTGTTCAGATTAGGATTAACCAGCTAATTGGTCTGAAAAGTGCTTAGTACAAACTTGTGGTTTTGCCAGAAGTGCTGTTGATTTTTTTTTATATGTGTAAAAGGTTCCAACTCTCAAGTAGCAAACTCACAGTGGGCTGTCAGTCATCGCACAGTGCAGTAAGTACGAACTCGGCTGTTAGTCGATTGGCGGTTAGCTTTCTGAGGGGTAATATTCCCTTCTAAATAAATAATGATTTGGTTGCTCAATACACGACTGTTTGTGGGACACTGCTGTGCGTAATTGGCTGCCGTGTTTCGCCCAGAAAAAATATAGTCAGTCCACTTCACAGAATATTCTATGACGAGCTTAAGACGTCTCAACAATATGATAAGGCGCTCTATCAAATGCAAAGGTTATCATTATTACCATCAGAAAAAGCTATCGGACATCTTTCTGATTTCAAATTTGATGAATGTAAAATGCGGATTTCAAGCTAATAGGGTTAGGCTTAAATTGAAAATAATATTTTGGGATACAGAATATGAGTGATTTGAGATAAAGCGTAGAATGCTTGAAAGAACCAGGCAACTTTCGATTTAAGGTTCCCAAAGCTTTCCACTCTGTTGTAGTCTAATCCATTCAGAATTAATTGCTATCAACATCTCGATTATATTAAAAGGAAGTATTATTATTAATATAAAACACATGCTCGTATTTAAATTATCTGAACGCCAAGCGAGGTAAGGTAACATGCATTCGTTCTGAGGAGTGCACCGGCCATGACTGCCCTCTTTGTCCTCTGGTACCTGAGTCCCAGCCTCCATCACATCAATTTCATTTAAAAAGGCATGTTCGTGGGCAGCTGTAAAAGGGGCCCTTCAGTGAACAGTTAATTAGCTTTTTCCAGAAAGATTTGCAAAGCTGCTTTTCTGTTCAGAGAATTCTAATTTTTATGGTCTGAAAAAAAGGAGCTGCGTCATTATAATAATAATCCTTGCATTTGATACAGTGCCTTATCACATAGTTGAAACATCTCAAAGCACTTCACAGAATATATTACAGTGATCACAACATCATTAGGTTTGGAGTACTTATGGAAAGGGACAAGGAAAAATCAAAAGTGAAGATACTCAACTGGAAGAGAGCTAATTTCAGTGAGTTAAAAAGGGACCTAGCCAAGGTGGACTGGAAAGAAAGATTGGCAGGTAAAACAGCTAACGAGCATTGGGAAGCCTTCAAGCAGGAGATAGTTTGGGGACAGAACAAATACATTCCCACAAAGGGGAAAAGTAGAGAATCCATGGATGAATAAAGAAATTGGGATTAAAATAAAACAGAAAAAAGAGGCTTATGATAAATGT